CCGCTCCCCGTACCACCTTTCCTCTTCTGGTGATAATTTTCAACATCTCCACAAGGGGTCTCTCTTGTCATTTCGGCTGAACTCCTCTGACCCCGAGAGTAAATTCTGACTTCTGTCAAACTGGAACATCTGTTATCAGCCGTTTGCTCAGTATAAACCCATTTCTGGAGAGCCTGATATGATCTCAAACGAAGCCCTACACTGAGCTGTTCATTTAATAAGATAATTAGTTGTTTTCCTCCCATTCCATTCTGAGAACTACGCCACATTGCACAAAAGTGGGGGGCTACAGTTTTTTCTTTTACAGGTCAGTGACTACGTAATCAAGCAGACAGGAGAAAACAAGACCCCCAGGAGAACATGTTGACGAGTGAAGTCATAACAACAGAATGGGACCAGCCAAACTAATTATAAGTCCCTCTTAAGAGGCAGCCTCCTTTAAGAGCTTAACATCAAGAAAAGTTCCCTAACTACAATGTTCATACACAGATTCATGCTGGAAGAAAAAAAAATTTCTAACCCCTTCAGCTCCTTTATAACTTCCATTTCTTGTTCCCTATTCTTAAAACAGATGAGGCAGCAGGTTCATGGGAAGGCCCCTCATCCTTGTCTCTGTCCTTGAGCCCCAATGCTGTCGGGTCTGGGCCTGGAGCTCAGTCGGAATGGGTGGATTGCATCCAGGCCAGTGACATGTGCAACCAGAACCCTCACTGCAGCTCTCGGTACCGGGTGATGAGGCAGTGCCTTGTGGGCAAGGAGAAGGAAGCCATGCTGGATAACAACAGAGAGTGTCAGGCTGCCCTGGAGGTGCTGCTAGGTAGTCCTCTGTACGACTGCCGCTGCAAAAGAGGCATGAAGAAGGAGCTGCAGTGTCTGCAGAACTACTGGACTATCCACATGGGACTCAACGAAGGTAGGAGGTAGATAGCTTTAATTTGTTCATGTCGGACAAATTCTATGAAGCATAATGGTTGAAAATTGCAAAATACAACACCCCGTTAAGAAATGTCTCTTTTTTATAACTGAAAACATATTCAGGAGGAATTATCAAGGTTTTTTCTATTCGTCTTTTCATCAGACAGCTTGTTACGAACAATCAAGGTCTTTACTGTCACTTCTGTCTTTGTGTGAAATCAGCTCACGTCACTTTCATGGTTTTATAACTGAACTGCAAAGCTCTGCACAAGCCTACACCGTGACAAAGACAACAGTCTGCAGGTTAATGATGCAATAACTATTCTCAACACACGTACATCACACTATATCACTAAATCCATATGAAATCTCCAACAATATAAAACCTATTCTACACCAACCTCAGCATTCCAAGAACCAGTGTTTATTCAGGCCAAAGCCATGGAATACATACGCCCACCGGTGATGACTTATTCCCAAGTGCCCTCTTTAAGTGATACCCCCATGCCCCCTAATGAAAAAGATATGCTTTACCTTTCCCCAGCCTCTTGGAGGTAATGGAGCAATAATGGGATTACATTAGGTAGACCTGTTCTGGTAGACTTATTGGTTTTCACCTAAAGTGTTCCATATTTTGATGTTTCAAGATGGCGGCGCGCACGGGTGCAGCGGCTCGTAGCTCTCTAACTTGGTGTTTGTTTTTACTGTATATAGTACCTTTTTTGAGTGAATTTTTTTATTTATGTGACGCCGTCACCCAATACAGTCGCCAGAACCTAATCGACCTGGGTTTCAGACACAATCTCTGTGTTACTGGCGATTACCAGAGAACACACAACATACCGGAGGACATAGCGAGACCACCGGGCTCTCCGTGGATGGTCAGCCCGCCCAGCAGGCGGAAAAGGCGGCGGAGAGAGAGGAAGCAGAAGCGGGGATGCCGGTCGGGCTTGGATGCGAGGCTACGTAAACAACCACATCGGCCAGCACTACCCAGCCTCTTCCCCTCCAACCCCAGA